TGGGTAGGTTTAATGCTTTACCTAAGGAATATAATAGTATTGTATAACAAGGAATTGTGTGGTTTTCATTTTTTTTTTTTTTTTTTTACTATGATAATGCAAGATTGTACTGCACTATTTTTTTATGTATTAAAATTGACTAAAGATTGATTGATTGATCAGTTTTTGTATACGTAAAATGATAAATTGNTTAATGCTTTACCTAAGGAATATAATAGTATTGTATAACAAGGATTTGTTTTTTTTTTTTTTTTTTTGTGTTTGGCCTTTATTTTTCTCTTACCTCTCCTCAACCTGTGTACTTTGGTAATCCTACAGATTTACAAGTTAAATATAGGCCTAGTTGCTCTGACACTATATTGTTGGTTGGTGATCAAAATCTCATAACTCCTTCTGAAGAAATATTTTTGGAGAAACATTAAATTTCTTTCAGAAGTCTGTTGTTTCCATATGTTGATTAGTATATTTTGTGAGAAACATGTGACACTAAGATGATGCAAATAACAGTCAATCACGTTTTGTTCATTGAAATGAGGTAACAGAGGTCAGACTACCTGTTACAGAGAACAAAAGTACTGTATATATATGTACTAAGTTCATGCTCTTGATCGAACTTCCAGCAACAATTGATTTATATACAATTCAGCTTAAAACTGAGACAATGACAATTCAACTTAAACCTAATACTATTACTACTTACAACTAAAAGAGAAAAGAAAGGATGAAGGAGGGTCTACTGGTAGCTTAGATTGGTGGTCCTGATACTGGGGTAATGTCGACTATGGTTGCTTCGTGGATGGAGAATATCCAATCTGTTGGCATCCAGGGTATTAACAAACAGTTACCATTAAATATGTGCTGAGGCAGGTCCTTGAACATGTACGGAAAGACTTGCTTAGTTTCGAGTCACCATCCACACGTGGTCTATACTGATCTTCTCTCTTCTTCTACCTTCCTAGGCCTGACTCCTCATAGTTTGTCTCTTGGTCACCTGACCTATCTCATTGGTGGTGAACCCCAAAAGTGATTCTTGTTTACTCCTGGTTTCCCCAGGTCCCCTTCAGGCAGGACCCTTCCTTTCTTTTTGTACACTGGCCCAATCAAGACTCATGAACAGTAAAGCTCTTGTCATGTGACAGGAAGGAAGAAGAATTACAGGGAAGAAGAAAGGAGCTCCTATTCTATATACAATTACAAAACAAACGTGGCAGACAGCCACAATTTTATCTATGTATTGAACTAGGTTCGACTCAGGACCTACATGAGTTTTACAGAACACGAGAAATGTTTTGTTATCCACTAATGCTGTAGCCTAATTCAAATTTAAGCAGATATTGGAGTTATGAGGGTTTGATCACCGACCAATGATATGGTATCTTTTTTTGTACATAAAACAATCAGACAATGGATATTTTGTTGTCAGATTTCCTAAAAACAAGTGTTGCTTGGTTAAGTCTTGTGTTCTTAACTCCCCTTCCTTTCTTTCAAAACTGTACTTCTGGGCTTTTGTCCATCTGGCTTCACCCTTATTGGTTGGTCTGATGGTCTTATGTGTTCTTTAAGACAAAAGGGTAGAATCGGATTGGTTAGAAGAACTAGCAAGAAAGGGGATATAGGGATGGAGAATGTCTAAACAAGATCTTTCAAGACAGACTCCTGGAGGAGTAACACGTGTTTGTTGAGAGGAACTAAAGGAAATTCCCCCAAAGAAGAAAGACATCAGGTTTAAGTGCCAATCATTCCCCTTTTTTTTTCTAATTTCTTCAATCTGATATCTTATTTTCTTCCAACAAAACCCCATCTTGGTCCAGGGCCCTATTTTTGCAAAAATTAGTTAAGTTAGAATCAAGTTAGGTTAAGTTTCTTTGTTTTATTGTCACATGGGACAAGGTCAATTGTATTGTACGATTTCATCCCAATTTACTGTATACCTATACAGTGGTACCTCAGGATACAAACGCCCCAGCATATGAAATTTTCAGGATATGACATGAAATTCAAACATATTTTTGCTCCACGATACAAACAAAAACTCACCATACGACGTTACATTAGTTCACAGCGCCGTTTTTACTCACTTCTGTTCATTGGTCTCAGTCCGCGTGTTTGCTTCGTCGTGGAAGGATCTCGCTTGATAAAGGAAATCTTCAGAAAGTGACTGATTTTATTGAAAAGAAACATCCTGAAAAGGTTCACACTGGCCGTATTGCTGCTTGGAGTAATGACATTTGCCTAAGTCATTTTAGAAACATTTTAAAAAGTAGGCAAAGCCAACCTCTTTGGATAGATATTTTACCATGCAACCTCTATCCAGTGAAAATGCTGATGGAAGTGAAGGAAAGAAAGCAAAAAGCAGTGAATAAAAATTAAAAAATATATATATATAAAACAACTCTAATTTTTTATCTTTTCTAAGTTATTTTTGTTATTGTTACATTATGTTATGTAAGTTAAGTTTTAGTATCATTTCCCTTCTCCCTCTCTTCTGCCACCAAATTACACCTCCACCATTGTCTGCAAAGGTAAAGTGCAAATAAAACTACATTTTTTTAATCAATTATTATTCTATTATGGTTATTTATACATTTACAACTACAAAATGCATTTTTCAGTGTTTTCCTTACTATAGTTTTTTTTTTAATGTACTACTTAGCTTTAATTTGAGTGTGTTTTTCGTGTTGGAATGAATTATTTGGTTTTACATGTAATCGTATGGGGAAAAATGATTCACCTTACGACATTTTCATGATACAATCTCAATTTCGGAATGGATTAATTTCATATCCTGAGGTACCACTGTACTTGTAAATGTAAATTTGATAAATTTTGTTGGAAAATTTCTTTAAGGCAAACATGAAATATCCAAAATTCTATCTGCACCGAGTGATTCTTAGGAGTCAATATTTTTTCTTGGTTACACAAGCAATACTTTGGTTGGTAATTGGCAAAGCAATATGTGACAACAAATGGAAACCAAACAATAGTAGTGTTCTTTGCAGTCAGCACTTTAAACCAGACTGTTTCGTCACACAGAACGGATACACCTATTTGCATGAGATGTTGGTTCTTACAAAGTTTGATTTTCCTCAGCATCTACAGAGACAGCCAGTATTGCCACAAAGACCACTAAAGTGAATATTGGGGTTTAGTAGTAATATGTCATTGGGTCCTGCAATTTGAATGTGGCTATGTGCATTCTTTTGTAGTGTTGCAATTTCACTTTTGAGGAATATAAAACAAGAAGTTCAACAATTCTAAATGTTTTTGGAACTTTACTCCATCTTCAAATGGTTAAAATACTTTAACACAAAAATAGAGAAATATAATAATAAAAAAATCAAATCATTAAAAACAAACATTACAAAAATGTTGAATACCATGAAATTTGAATTTAATTTTTGTGTTTGATAATTTAGTTCTTTATTATTATAGTAAAAAATTATTTTAGTCTTCAAGGAAATAATTATCTGAAAACACTTGAAATCGAGGAATTATTAGATTTAATTTAAAGCTTTTTTTTATTATTATGACATTTTAATGAATATAAACAAAAAGATTCTTATAAAATAATTGTTAGTAATTTTCTTTAATTTATTGGCATTTGTGGCAAATTAATCTATCTGTAATATTCTAAAATAAAAAAAATCATTAGATGTGAGCATAAATAAAATAGTTATAGCTAGAAATTGAATATATTTACAAAATAGCAGAAAAGAATTTCTTAAACAAATTTATTCATTTTTTATACTTTCTTTGAATATAAAATTTGCAGATATAATCAAGTAATAACTTTGTAAGCATTCATATTATATTTATTTATCTAATATTTACAGTCTAAAGCTGAAATTCTAAAATTCATTAAATGAAACTATAAAATAGGTTATTTGATTGATTTAGTAGAAATGTTTACTAAATCAAATAAAAAACTAAGATTTTTTGTTATTTCAATGATGGTGATTAGAAAATATTTTATATTTTACAGGCGATATTATTAAGATTATTATTGCAACATATTGACTCTCAAGACTCCAAAATTCTTAATGGAATAATTTTAGCATTTGGTTTATTTTTTACTCAGTTACTAAGATCTTTATTTCTCAGTTTATCTTTTACATTAGGATTTTTTACAGGTAAGAATATAAACTTATATCAATCATTAATTTATTATTGATAAATATGCAAAATATTACACACAATTATTTAAAGAAATTTCAAAAATTGGACTAACTTGTTTTATTTGAAACATAAAATTATAAGTAGAATAAAAAATATCAATCCTCAGAAACAAAAAAACATATGAGAAAACATGCATTATTTTCTACAGCAACCCTTCAACTGTTTATTTTAAGATGAAAGGATAAATTTAGAAAGCTTTTAGGAATAAAAAGTAGGAAAAAAAACAAAAACTAAAGATGGCTGAAAGTAAACAACTTCTAACAGATCTTATAAGAAATTAATCATTTCGTTTTCTGAATCTCTGGAGTCTGCATTATTTTCTGTTTTTCTTGAAAAATTCACAGAAATTTAGTAATATTAGCATTATTAACAAATTAACGAAAACAAATGTTTTTGGCCTTCACCAAAGCCTGCATCAAGTTTTTAACGAATTGGAATGTTTGAATGATAGTATTCGAAAAACAATTTTAAATTTTGAATATCCTGAATCTAATTCAACATTAAAACTATTAAAACTCGCAATTTTTTGGCCCTGCCTCATATATACATTTTATGATGTACAGATTGAATTAATATAGTCTAACTTTGCCCGAACTTTTCATAAAGATACCTCCACACATGCGATATCATATTGCAGTCTTTAAAATTAATACATTTGCTGGTGCAGCTGGCTTTATATATTTCCAAAGCCTCCAGGCTACAAATATGGTCTGTTTGATAGGCCTAACTTGGTGTTCTGGAGGTCTGCATGCACTTCGGGGTCAGTTGCATACATGGNTATTTCAATGATGGTGATTAGAAAATATTTTATATTTTACAGGCGATATTATTAAGATTATTATTGCAACATATTGACTCTCAAGACTCCAAAATTCTTAATGGAATAATTTTAGCATTTGGTTTATTTTTTACTCAGTTACTAAGATCTTTATTTCTCAGTTTATCTTTTACATTAGGATTTTTTACAGGTAAGAATATAAACTTATATCAATCATTAATTTATTATTGATAAATATGCAAAATATTACACACAATTATTTAGAGAAATTTCAAAAATTGGACTAACTTGTTTTATTTGAAACATAAAATTATAAGTAGAATAAAAAATATCAATCCTCAGAAACAAAAAAACATATGAGAAAACATGCATTATTTTCTACAGCAACCCTTCAACTGTTTATTTTAAGATGAAAGGATAAATTTAGAAAGCTTTTAGGAATAAAAAGTAGGAAAAAAAACAAAAACTAAAGATGGCTGAAAGTAAACAACTTCTAACAGATCTTATAAGAAATTAATCATTTCGTTTTCTGAATCTCTGGAGTCTGCATTATTTTCTGTTTTTCTTGAAAAATTCACAGAAATTTAGTAATATTAGCATTATTAACAAATTAACGAAAACAAATGTTTTTGGCCTTCACCAAAGCCTGCATCAAGTTTTTAACGAATTGGAATGTTTGAATGATAGTATTCGAAAAACAATTTTAAATTTTGAATATCCTGAATCTAATTCAACATTAAAACTATTAAAACTCGCAATTTTTTGGCCCTGCCTCATATATACATTTTATGATGTACAGATTGAATTAATATAGTCTAACTTTGCCCGAACTTTTCATAAAGATACCTCCACACATGCGATATCATATTGCAGTCTTTAAAATTAATACATTTGCTGGTGCAGCTGGCTTTATATATTTCCAAAGCCTCCAGGCTACAAATATGGTCTGTTTGATAGGCCTAACTTGGTGTTCTGGAGGTCTGCATGCACTTCGGGGTCAGTTGCATACATGGACAAGGCAGTGGTATGCTTATTGTTTTTTTCATGTCATATTGATGCTCATGTACCCTTTTTTGTATTGATCGTTTAGTTGAGCCAATATACACTAACTCCCTTCAGAATCTATCATCCCTTAACGATATATTGTACACTCCTGAGACCCTGCTTTGATCTATCTTATCTTTCGCATTGCATAGCAACTTATATATTGTGTCAGTTCTCTTGTACATGATTTCTGTGCTAAGTTAATTATGCAGGCCTATCAAACAGACCATATTCATAGCCTGGAGGCTTTGGAAATATATAAAGCCAGCTGCACCAGCAAATGTATTAATTTTAAAGACTGCAAAATGATATTGCATGTGTGGAGGTACCTTTATGAAAAGTTCGGGCAAAGTTAGACTATATTAATTCAATCTGTACATCATAAAATGTATATATGGGGCAGGGCCAAAATATTGCAAGTTTTAATAGTTTTAACGTTGAATTAGATCATGTTATTTGAAATTTAAAATTGTTTTTCGAATAGTACTATTCAAGCATTCCAATTCGTTAAAAAACCTTATGCAGGCCTTGGTGAAGGCCAAAAATGTTCATTTTCATTAATTTGTTACTGTAATTAAAGGTTTTGTTGCACATGATGACCTCCAGTAATTTAGAAAGGAGATAATTTTTTTAGTTCAATTTCACTAAATTGTTACTTTAAATAAAATAATTAATTAATGATGTTTTACTAAACATTGAAATAAGTATATCAAGAGTATAATTATAATAATGTAATATAATTTATAAGACAGAAAATAATTTATAAATATATTATCTCTTAGTTTAAGCTATTGATCTATTAGCAGTTTTTACTTTGATTCAAATTAAACAACTTAAAGAAGTTTTACTTTAATTTAATTAGTAAAATAATTTATTATAAATAAATTGCTACAAATTGTAAAGAATTTATCTTTATCAAACATAAAAGTAATTAATTTTTTCCCTCAGTATTGCTACATACCAACAGAATGCTGAAAATCTATCAGGCTAGTTTAATGCTAATTATTAAATAAATTACGTAATCAATTTGGCACCAGAGGTAAGCGTTAGGCGCCATCTCTTATTAATATTAATAATTATAAATTAATTAATTAATTTAAATAATTTAGAACCGCTGGGAGAAAAAATCGGCCCGGAGCGGGACTCGAACCCACAACTCCGTACTGTTCGACACGAGACGAG